TTATTTCTTGGGAGCTTGGTCATAGGAGAAAACACTATAAACAGTACAATCTTACAATGACTAGGAAAATAAAAAGAATCAATAAAGAAAATTAATTGTCTCTGGACAGAACTTAGGAAAAGTTTATGATAAGAAAAATAAACCAATTGGTTTTGGTGGCATGCCTCTAATCCTAGTAACCTAGCAACTGGGGAGGCTGAGGCAGGAGGATCAAAAGTTCCAGGACAACTTAGCAAGCCCTTGTCTCAAAATAAAAAATAAAAAGGGCTGGTGATGTAGCTCAATGGTAGAGCACTCCTGGGTTCAATTCCTAGTACTGGGAGGGGGGGGGGAAGAAACAAACAGAAAAGCACACAACAAAAAATATTAATAAAATTAGGCAAGAAAAAAAAAGTAAGCAAAGACTAAAGAACATTAAAGAAATAGAAGATGACTCCCATGAAGTAAACAGTATATGGGGCCAGGCGTGTAGCTCTGTGGTAGAGTGCTTCCCTAGCAGGCAAGAAGTCTCATTCCAGAGTGTGCATGCAAACAAACACACAAGAGGAAGAGGAGGGGGAGAAGGAGAAAGGGTAAATGGCCTCTAATTATCTGATTTTGATTTTATTGATTGAACCCAGGGGCACTTAACCACTGAGCCACATCCCCAGCCTTTTTAATTTTTAGGTTCTCTCTAAATTACCTAGGGCCTTGCTAAGTTGCTGAGGCTGGCTTTGAACTTGCAATCCTCCTGCCTCAGGCTCCCTCAACAGCTGGGATTATAGGCATGAGCCACCATGCCAGCTGGCATTTATTTGATTTTTATGAAGTAGCACAGGCCACATTAGTAGTAATCTACCTCCAAGTATGGCTGTTCCTGACCTAGCAAATTGTATAAGCAGGTCCTTCCCGCTGAATTATTATAAAGGGGAATGCAGGCTAAGATAATCAGGGTAGTCAGGCCCCTTCCTCCTTGCTTCCTCTTAGGTTAGGTGTTATTATGGGTGTTATTACAGGGCAAGGATGTATTCAGGGGAGGACACGGTTCTACAACAAGCTCTTGTTAGCAACTGGAAGAGTGTAAGCTGTATACATATGAGAGGTAGGCATTATTATAACGGAAACAAACAAAAACCAAGCACAAACTAAAAACGTTTTCCTGCCTTTCCTTCTGTGCTGAGTCACTGCTCAGTTGCAAGCATTCCAGCTCAAGGCAGTTCCTAGATTCCCTCTCCGCTGGAGATGGACCTCCGATCCCTAGAGCACAGATCCCATCGTATTGAAGTAGTGACTGCAGCACGGCCACGGTCCTGCTCGGTCCACCAGTTCATTGTCGAATTTGAGGTAGCACAGTTAGGCCCACCAAGAGAAAACACATGGACCTAGAGAACACTAACCCTGCCTACACATGAAAATAGAATCAGGAAACCCGATGGGGGGTGTCTCCACTTCTCATTGAACTGAACAGCATCCTAGCCTCAGGTGGCCAGTGACAAGAGGCTGCCGAGCAGACATAAGGCCAAGCTGGCGAGGTCAGCTCCGATTACTGCTGGGCAGTTGAGTTCACTGATTTTCGTGGCTCCTGGCCAGGATTGCATAACAGTCCCAGAGGCCCATGAGGGCACAGATGACTAGGAGGGAACCTGCGCCTCCCGCCCCTGCGCTATGCCCAGGGTCCACGCCCGGGCCGCGAGCGTCGCAGCTCTCTGCCGACCCACTGTAGGGGAAGAATTTGCTGAGGCCCCAGAGGGTGCAAGGATTCTTTGCCCAAGTAAACCACCACTAAACGCCATTACCTTGAAGGAAAGCGCTTCGTGAGACTTCGACCTGGGCAGCAAAAAGGCCACGAGATGGCAGCAGAGGACTCAGCCTGGGACAAAAAACCCCAGCCATCTTGCAAAAAAACAGGTCGAGAAACTGAAGACAATTTGGGAAAATATTGTCATTTGTCTATAATCATACATTCGGCATAAATGACTGGATTTTAAAGAAATGAGGGTAAAATTAATCAACCTGAAGACTCTTCCAATCACAGAATTCAACTGCGTATGAAGCCACATATCATGAAAGGGTTATTTTTCCATTGCTTGAAAGCAGGAGATAGGGGTCATGGCCTTTAAAAATTGACGTCAGCAGGAGCCTTGTCACAGTCCCTTCTTTCTGTAAAGTTCTAATTCAAGTAAAATGAGAGATCTCCACAGAGGCTGCCAAATTGATGAAGAATGGGGCAGATACAGTGGTTGCTGGGGAGGAATGCAGCAAAGCAGAATGCTGTCATGGAACAGTCAAGGACTCTGGCAATAATGTGTGGGGTGGGTGAGGGAGATCATGAGAAACACAGGACAAGTTTCAAACATTCTTTGCTTGCAGCTGGCAAAGGGTATTGAAAGGGCATTAGTAGCATGGGAGTATGCCCCAAATCTTTTTCTTCTAATGGTCCTTCTGCTATATATTCCCTTGCCCTCCCCTCCCTAGTTGTAACTATCAAAAATGTCTCAAGATATTGCACAATATCCTCAGGGGTGCAAAAATGACCCTTTCCTGAAAACCAAGAATTTCATTTCTTCCCTCCAAGACACATATTTCATAAGTCTACATGAACCATATTGTACATCCAAATCCTGAATTCCTACCATATGTTTGTGTAATGTGGAGAATGACAATTGAAGGACTACAGGCCGAATCTGGCCCTTGAATTAAAAAAAAAAAAAAGTTATAAATATTTTAAAATCAGAATGTTTCATATTTTACAAGTCAGAATGTCTGTCTTCTGTAGGAACACTGAAGGTATGGCATTATGAAGTCCACAGTCCTAAATGGCAATAATTGATAGAGATGAGTGGAAATGTTCATTTAAATAAAATGTGTATCCTTGTTAGGTGCGGTGGTGCACGCCTGTAATCCCAGTGGCTCAGGAGGCTGAAACAGGAGGATTATGAGTTCAAAGCCAGCCTCAGCAATGGTGAGGTGCTAAGTAACTCAGTGAGACTCTGTTTCTTTCTTTCTTTCCTTTTTTTTTTTTTTTAAAGAGAGAGTGAGAGAGAGAGAATTTTAATATTTATTTATTTACTTACTTTTTTAGTTTTTGGCGGACACAACATCTTTGTTTGTTTGTGGTGCTGAGGATCCAACCTGGACCGCACACATGCCAGGCGAGCGCGCTACCACTTGAGCCACATCCCCAGCCCATAGACTCTGTTTCTAAATAAAATACAAAATAGGGCTGGGGATATGCTTGGTAGTTGAGTTCAATCCCCAGTACCTTTTTTTTTTTTTTTTTTTTTGGTGCTGGGGATCGAACCCAGGGCCTTGTGCATGCAAGCCAAGCACTCTACCAACTGAGCTATATCCCCAGCCCTCAATCCCCAATAACTGAAATAAAAAAAAAAAGTGTATCCTCTACTTTGCTACAGTTCCTACCACTCCCTATTCCCTCATAACCATCTGTTTCAGTCATTTAAATCAATATAGGCAATTTATTTTCAATTCCTGAAGTACTCTATAGTTTTTTTTTTTTTTTCCTGTGCTCAGATTGAACCCAGGGCACATTATAAGCAAATGCTTTACCATTGAGCCAGCACCAGCACCAGATTTTTGTTTATTTTTCCTTGTGATTTTTATTGTATTGTCCTTCAGTAATCTGAGGACAAATATCATTATAATTTCCATGTGAACAAAATGTAGTTTAGAGATTTGATTTGCTCAAGCAACAGAATCAGAACCTAGATTTCCTTACACCCCATCCTATTATTATTTGAAGGAAAAGTTCTATTAAGAACTTCACTTAGGGGCCTGGGGTTGTGTGGCTCTGTGGTGGTAGAGCGCTTGCCTAGCATGTGTGATGCACTGGGTTTGATTCTCAGCACCACATATAAATAAGTAAATAAAATAATAAAGATCCATTAAATATAAATATATATAAAAATATATATATATAAATATAAATTTATATATATATATATATATATATATAAATATATATATATACACACACACACACACACTTAGGAGTTTTATGGAATCAAATCAGTAATGCAAGAATGGGCATGGCTGTTAGAACTGATGAGTTCCAAGTGCTAAGTTGTTCAAGAATCACCACAAAGGACTAACCCTTTTTCTCTTAATTAAGTATTTCTGCCTTCCTTTGCCTTCTACACGTGATAAAAATGCCCTTCCTGCTTCCTTAAAGTTGACTGATATATGTCAATGAACTGTGAGTGGTCGTAACATATATCCCTTTAGGGACATGAATATTTCTTCATGCTTAATTCACATTTTGGAAGGAGTAACTCTACACCTCATAAGGACACCGTAGGGCTTCAAAATGGTGGGATTCTTGAGCTTGAGTACCCAAATAACTTACAGTGAGCAGAGATCCTTGTCAACCTACTTTGGACATGTAATATGAGAAATAAACCTTTCTGGTTTTAAGCCATCGAAATTTTAGCGTTATTACCACAGCATCATCTAGAGTAACTTGGCACAAGGTTCATTTGCATGGTGTTTGTGTTTTTCTAAGAACTAGAAAGCAATATCTAGACTTTTGATAACATTATAAAAGCTGAAAGCCAGAGCAAATTGTTGAATACGGACGCCCCCCGCCCCAGTTTCCTAATCTACCACCACCTTCTGACGTTAAAAAGTTCTTTCCTTGGAGCCTTTCATTCATGAACCCTCCTTTATTCTGTTAGGTTGTGGGGAGGAAGAAGAGGCACAGATCTTTTTTTCTCTATTCCAGAGCTGATCCCAGAACTGTCCCCACCCACTAATACTCACACTTAACTTTTCATAGGGCGACTATTACCACTCCCAAGGTGTCACAAACAGAAAGGAATTGTAGCTGGCGCCACTGCAATGTCAAGACAAGACAGCCAGGCAGCGCTGTACCCTCACTGGTGCTTGGGCTTAGCTGAGCCCCGAGAAGCAGCATTCTCTAGGGAAAGAAGCCTTCTCAAGTGGGAACAAAAATGAGTGTGAGGAGAATACCCATCCTGGGCACTATGTGAATTTGGGGTGAGTTCTCTTAGTACTCCAGCTCTGATCAATTTCTAGTGCTAGCGGCTAAGCTGCCCGACTGGTGCTACGGGGACTCTCAGTTTTCTCGCTTTTCCCCAGGCCCACCCGAGCTTGTTATCTTTGTACACTTGCAAAGGTCATAAACGGTGAGGGCTGAGTGCAAGCAGAGCTTCAGTAACCAGACTGCAGCCCGGGATCAAAGGTCCGCGGAGCTGCGCAGAGGCTGAGTGTGCGCAGTACCGCTCCCGCCTTGGAAAGGCTCTTTACATCCGCGTGCTAGCAATAGGCGGGAAAGTCGGGTCGCCACGTCCTTCCCTCTGCCTGCCGGGTCCACCGGCCTGCCCAGCGAGCCTGTTATCCGCAGACGCCCAGGACGTGGGGGGGAGGGGGACGAGAAAGGCCCCGCGCTCCTGACTCATCATCTCCAACCTCCTTCTCGCGCGCGCTCCAAGTCTCAGGACTTTGGACCTGAGCACTCATGCGAGGGGGCGCGGCGAGAGCACCTGCGAACCCCCAGCTCTGCCAAGCGCCATTCCCAGCCGTCGACGAGCTCGGAAGCTGACAGAGGGAGGGGCGAGGGCCCAGAGTCCTCTCGCGGTTGCGTGGCTGCTGTGTGGCGCCCCGGCGCAGGACCGCCCGCCCGGCTTCTCCCCGCTAGCGGGCCTAGTGGTCGCGCCCGAGGAAACTCTCGGCTAGGCCTTGACTTGCAGCGCCTCGCGTCACTCGGCAGATGCACAGCGCCCCTGCCGCGGAGGGAAGGCTCTTTATTTCCCAGAAGGTCACGGGGTAGCGGGGCATCCTGGGACTTGTAGGCTCTGTTAGAGTGGACCATACCCGAATCTAAGAAAGAAGCAGTGGGGAGAGGAGGGCAAGGATGGAAGGGAGGAAGCCCCTTTACAGGGCGGTGAAGTGAGATGGAGGACCCAGGTCCAGGTATATTTTCATCTAGTGGGGAAGGGACAAGAAAGAACTCCACTAGACCTCATGCTGTCTTCTGAGTTTGCTGGGGTGGCATGCGGGGCAATCTGGAGGGTGCTCCCTCAAGAGAGAAGGGCTGTAGATCCTGTCTCCATCTCCTTGCTCTCGCAGCTCACTCATTTCGGTTTCCTGTGCTGGCCACCATAGTACCATTTTCCAAACCAGGAACCTCTTCGACCTCAGAGAGGCCCTGAAAAGCAGATAAAAGTGTAAGTGAATTGTAGGGATGAGAAAGGAGATAGCCCAGACAGAAGCAACTTCTTCCTCCCCCATTTTTTTTCTCTCATAGTTCTTCCAATAAATCTGGGTAGCTTCCTATTGCTTGTCTATTCTAGTCCCAGTCATTTGGATACCCATTTCCCTCTTACCCACCATTAGGGGAAAAGCTGTCCCAAGCCAGAAAGCCAATCAGTTTCAATTCAGGATCCCTCATTTCCCCTCTGTCCCACTGCTCCCCTTAAATGCCACTGACCAGGATTGCCAACGGAAAAATTAGGAGGCAGCTAGCTGCTCCATGCTTTCCTTCCTGCCCCCAATACCTCTTGCAGTTCCTGGTAGTGCAGACTCTGGCTCCTGAAGCATCCTGGCTTCCTTTGGCTCAGCAAGAATAGGGCATATGCGGAGGCCAGCACACCTCCTAGGGTGAAGACCTCAGCGCTGAGCTCCAGCACCAGCAAGCCCACCAGCTGCAGGTAGACAGGGCTGAGGATGCTGTGGGGACCCAACACCTGTTTTTCCCTGCCCTTTCCCTTTCCATCTCTTGCTTCCTCCTCCTCCCACCTCTTCATTCACCAGTACCTGGGAGGAGGCTGTGGGAGAAGGCCCCAAAGCTGTCTTCATCACCTCGACCACCACCGCAATGAAGCCCAAGATCAGGTTGAAGGTGTTGAATATCATCATGGCCCGTACCTGCCAGTGAACCAGTTCAGCACTGCCCAGCCTAGGGGACTCATTCCAACATCAATCCCCACCTGAAGCCTAGCTGAAAACAAAGCTCAGCTCTTGTTTCTTCTCCAAATAGGACAGGACCATCAGCCCTCTAACTTTCTTGCTTTCTCTCCATAGTCTTTTAGGCCAGCCAGGGACAGACAGCAGAGGATTAGTCAACATTTAATCACTTACTTCCTGAGTTGAGGGGTGTGTGTGTGTGTGTATTTTGGAGGGTGGGAGGACAGTACTGCATGCTTTTCCCACTCACCTTCCAGAGGCGGGGTGCTCTGCGAAGCTCAAGGGTGACAGTCCCAGTTAGGAGACCCTGAATGGTAATAAGCACAAATTTAAACTCTGTTCCCATTAGGGAGGTGTCCCCAGAACCTTCCTTCTACCCTCCCTGTGACAGGTCTTACTGAGACTCCAGACCCAAGAGGCAGTGCTGTGGCCATGTGACAAGCAGAGTTCAGGCAGGCGACTGAGACAGCAAAGGGTACCACAACTAATGCCAGCCATATCTGGGTCACCTGGAGACCAGAGCAGGGTATTTTAGCACGGAACTGTCAAGGATTCTTTTCCCTCCTGGAAAATAATTGGGATAAATACATGGCAGAAGGAAAGTAGTCAACCAAGGGCAGCAAAGGAAGTAAGATTTAAAAATTAAGTGCCGTTTAATTTGTTCTGCCTCATGTTGCAGTTTACTTACTTCTGTTTTCCCCATCAGACAGAAGCTACATGGAGATTAAGGTTCTTGCTTTTTATTTTTTCGTCTGTTTCTTCCACCCTCCTCCCACTAAGAGCCTAGCACACTTTCTGGCACATGGTAGGTGCTCACTGAACATGGATGGAACTGAATTGGATACAAGTGGACATGCTGAGACCTGGGGTGGGACAGCCTGGCCTCACCGCCAGCACCAAAAGCTGTCCATTTTGCTTGTGCCTTGCCCAGTGCTGTAGCTTTTCCAGACGAAGGCTGGGTCTCTCCTGCTCTTGCAGATTGGCTCCATCCTCCATCATTCCCTTGACCACAAGAGCTGGGTGCTTCCTAGGCTGGAAAAACTCATTATGGGCTTGTCCTTCAGGAGATAGGACATGCTATCTCTCTCCCAGTTACCCCTCTACCCACTACCAAAATTAAGGGAATTGAGGCCCAGGACCTTACACCTACCTAGTTTGAAGCAGCTACTCCAAAGGGATGGGACTCAGATGGGTCCTGGGACTCTTTGGGGGCCTGGTATTTCAGAGAAGATGAAAAACTTGTCCTGTCTGAGAAAGGCTGACAGAGCTGGGCTGTGGTTGGGCAAAGGTCCCAGTAAGGGCCTAAGGATCTAGGGAGTGGCCCTGGGTAGACATCAACCTTAGTTCACAAGATACTCAGCCCTGTCTCATTTTGTTCCTATTTCTATTGCTCCCATTTCTGCCCATCTGGTTTCCTCTTTTGGATTCATTCACTCACCACATCCCTTTGGATACTTTCAATCCTGGACCTCAATTTCCCTATATTCCATCATCTTTTTTTCTTTCTTTGGTTTCTTCATCAAATCACTTACTCTGCCCTAGTAAGATTCCATATTACTCTTTGGACTGCTTATTACCACTTGCAGCTTTGTCCCTAACCCTGGTAAGTTTTAATTCCCCTAACTTTCCTGTCTCTCACTCTTTTCTCTTTGTAATTTCTTGAAAGTTTTACTCTGAATTGGATGCTAAATGGATGGAGAGCACTGTTTTTAGTGGGGATTGGTTTTGACTCAGTGATAAACTGCACTTAGACATATGTAGATGGTCCCCAAGTCTCGTGTACCTTTCTTGGGAAAGGTACTATTAAAACAATATTTCTGAAAGAAGAGATACCTTGCAGCCTGGGCTAGACTCAGTTCTGCAAGTTTCCCAGCTGGGTGTCCTTGGACATATTCTTGTGACATTATTTTACTTATTTCAACCTCAGTTTGTTCACTGGTAAAAGGAAGGTAACAACGTGCCCGTGCTGTGAAAGGTTGTTGATTCAGGGTGAGTGGTTAATAACCATTAACGCTGCTGTGCTGATGAGGTCATACTGATGTGCCTGAGGACTTACTAAAGAACCTAAGATGGGGATATTTATTTGTACAGCAGAAAAAGCTGGGCCTGAATATATACAACTCAAAGATAGGAAAGGCCCATCTTCGCACAGAGCCTGAGGTCTGGAGAGAACGAGTCCCAGATCCACCTGGATGACCTTGAACAAGTTGCTTAATCTGTTTCCTTATCTATAAAGGGAAGTTAATACCAATTTCAAGGGGTTGCCTTGAGCATTAGAAGAGAAAATGCATATTAGCTAGCTTAACCCAACACCTAACACGTATGTATTCATAATCCTTAGTAGCTATTATCATTATTATTGATGATAGGAGAAACTGAGCCAGAAGAACCCTGGCAGGTAGTTCCTTGGACAGGATCCTGGGAAGCACATGGCCTTCCTTATAAGCCATTCCTGCCCTACTCAGTGCTGGGTCAATATCCTTGGAACACTGTATCTATTTTTCTTTCTTGGGAAGTGGGAATCACATTTTAAAGGAATCTAGAGAACTGTTGTCTATTTCTACCTCTTCAATCCCCGTAAATAAAATTAATTTAATGGTGATGTGAGATGTTGGGCTTGCAATGAGGATCCTTAAACTTGCAGGCCAGTGGGGAAAGAAACTCCTTGAGCCTCATTTTTCTTACCTGCAAATGAGAACTAATTATATTAGAACGTTATTGTTAAGGATTGTATACTATTAAATACGTGAACAGGCATTCTGTAAATATTGACCAAATCTGAATATACTACTTACAAGTTTGTAGCCATCGCCCAGACTACAGTCTCCTCAAGGGAACATATCGCATCCCCCTCATCTGGGCAGCCCCCACAGCTCTGAGCACAGTGCCTGGTACTTGGTAAGCACTCAGTAAATATTTGTTGTTTTGAAGAGCCATTTAAGTGTCTTAAAGAATGGAAAATAGAATTCGAGAGAGAAGAACGAGAATTGTTTATCAAGAACAGAAAGGACGGAAGAGTAACTTTAATAATGTTTCTTATACGGCAGACATTAACTATCTCTATAATCGCCCCTCCTCCTCCCCAAAAAGAGACAGAAATTGTAAGGGAGAGGCTTTGAGATAAAACCCCAGGAAGAACTTCTCCGAGTCTGTGCATGTTGGGGCAGAAACAGCGGCAGAGCCAACTCCTTCCCTGGTATGTCCGGGTCTAGGGTGGGAGGGGCAGTCCTGCTAGGAGGCTGGGGGAAGGACGAGATGACCTTTCAAAATCTCTTCCAGTCTCCTGTTGGAATCGTCTGTGCGCCCCACCCCCGCTCCCTCCTCTCTCCCTCCCTCCGACAGCGCCCCCCGTCTCCAAACTGCCCGCACCCCGCCCCTGGCGGCCGCCTCTCGCGGCTCCCGGGGTCCCCAGCTCCCTGTCCCCAGAGCCGTAGCCGCGCTCCCGCGCGGTTCCCATCCCCGCCGCGCCGCCCCCCGCATGCTAATGGCCGGGCCGCCTCCCGCCGCACACAATGCGGGCCAGGGCCGGGGGCGGGGGGACCGGGGAGGGGGCGGGGGCCGGGCCGGGGGCGGGGGGGCCGGGGCCCGGCGCATCTCCCCCGGCCCCACGTAACGCTGACGCCCGCGCCGCCGGCCCGCCGCCCGCCGCCGCCACCGCCGCCGCCCGCCCGCTCCGCCGCCGCCCGCCCGGGGCTCGTGAGTAGCCGCTCCCCCCACTCCCGGCCCCCCCCCTGTCCGCCACCCGCCCCCGCCCCCGGCCCCCTCCCCCCATCCCGGAGGGGGGGCCGCTCCGCGCGCCCGGCTCGGAGCAGGTGCAGGGGGCGGGGGCGGGGGAGGGGCGCCGGCTCGGCCCCAAGCAAACTTCGCCCAGAGCTCCTGGGGGGGCGGGGTGGGGGTGGCGGCCTGGGAAGCCTGTAGAGCTGGGGGGGGCCCCACGGGAGGGGGGCCAGGTGGGGGAGCCGGGGGAGCGGACACCAAAGGGGAAGGGCCAACGGGGGTGGGGTGGGGGCGGGGGTGGCGAGCGTCTTTGTAGGGGCCCGAAGGCAGGGCGCGAGGGCCCTGGGGGTGCGGGGCGGTGTGGCCGCGAGCCTGAGTGGATGCGCGCCCCCCGGCCCAGGTAGGGCCCGTGGGGGAGGGGGCAAGGAACCCAAACTCTCCGGAGTGGGGACGGTGGGGGGAGGGGAGAGGATGGGGGGTGCTTCCCTCTCTGCGTCCCAAACAAAGTGTCACAAAGAGCTCGGCCCGCGGCAGCAGCGGAGGCGGCTGTAACTCAGCTTTTGTTCTCCCGGCCGGCCGGGGGTAGCAGAGCCCTGGCCTCCCTATCTCCCACCCTGCCCCCTATCATCCTTCTTGCTTATCTTCCCAGGGAGGGGTCTGGGGTGCTGCTGGAAGAACCTCTTGTGCAGGATCACAGGTCCTACCTTACTTGCTGACCTATTTCTGGGAGGGGTATTTTCCCAGAAGCTCTCCTGCCCACCTCCCTCTTTCCCCCACCTCCCAGTCTGAGGACTGAGGCTCATGTGGGCGGTTAGACTGACTTTTCTAGGGTCAGCTCCAGTTAAGTAGACTTAGGGATGGCTACATGTCTCCTTTCCCCAAATCCAGATCCTTCAGAACTTTGAAAATCGGGGTCAAGTTAGGACATGACTGGGATAAAATTCACCATGGTGGGGTGGCAGCAGGTGTATCTTCTCACCTCCTACTGTGCATTTGGAGTCCTTAACTGAGGTTGCTTGCCCCTAACTCAGGACAGTGGGACCCAGGGAATGCTGTCTTCACCAAGAACTCAACTTGAAAGGTGGCAAACTGCTCTGGAGGGAGAGTTTGAAGGAGTAGTGAAGTTAATATAGAGAGGAGACCACAAAAGTGATCTATTGGCATGTCTCTGTGATTGAGGTGGTCTTCATTCTGGACCACTTAAGAAGCTCCCTTTCCTAAAAACCCATTTAGTGCAGTGGTTATCATAATTGTTAGGTATAGGATTCTCAGCAGAGGGAAAACTCAAGTATTAGAAATGACCAGAGACAGAGGCCTAGTTACAGCTAGACCCCAGAGATCCTGAACCCTTGCTCCATACACTTTGAACCACTAGGCTTGGGGACAACCTTCTTAGTCCTCTATTTGGCAGATGCTTCTGTGTATCTGTCTTTGTTGTTTATAAATCTTTTTATTAACCATCCATCTTTACTTAGTAAGGTTTAAGGTTTGATGTTCCATAAACTGCCTATACCAGCTGTCCTGGCATGTAAGAGTAATTGGCCTGTTGCTTTGGAAATATTTCTGATCCCTAACCCTGGCTCTGCATCCCTATAGAATCCAAATAAGGGCAAGATAACCCCTGATTCTCAGTGGGGGTGGAAAGTAGGTCACTGCTACTCTCTGACCAAGTCTGGCCAAGTATCATGGATGGTGTTTAAGCCTGAGTATAGAAAAATCTATGATTATTGTCCACAGTTAATACATGTATGACTTAAGTTACAAGCAACTTCATAAAACCTGTCAGTGCTCTCCTTTATTGATTACGACCATGAGATCAGATGTCTGGGCCTGATTGGAATGAATATGATTGAGGGGATCTTGATGGGGTCTAGGAGGTCTCAGTGAATTTTGTTGATTTTAGGCCTCTTTTGGAGAAACTCTTCTGCTGGGGAATTTAGCTTCAGTTTGGGTCTTCTTATATCACTATATTTCCATTCTGAAAACTGCTGTGTGCAATGTGTGTGTGTGTGTGTGTGTGTGTGTGTGTTTCTTTTGGGAGGAAGTTTTGCCTTGTTCTGTTTTATTTTATTTTTGCATTGGATATGAGTCCAGCTTCTCAGGAGATGTTTTGCTTGCAGTTTTAGGGGCCCTAGAATCTTCTCAGAATCAGAATATGTGCCCATAGGTTAGTCAGCTATGACCATGCAGTATTCCCAGCCTCCACCCCCCCTCCCTCCTGGCCATCTGCTTCCTCTGAATATACCAGATTGGCTGTACACCAGGATGTTCCGGGAATCCCCAGGAGAGCAACAGAATGTGAGGGACCCAAATACGATGCCTCAGTAACTCATTCCAGGATGTACAAACTGTAACTGTCAGGACACTCCTTATAGCTAATTAAAAATTTTCTGGTTACATCTATTTTCTAATACCTCTATTTTCAGTGACATCCAAAAGGCCAAAATAATCCTCTGGTACCACTCTCCCCTGACCCTCTGTGGTTCCCAGATACGGGGAGAAAATCCTCCAGCTTTTCTCAGTGCTTTATCTGTGATGCTAAAATGGCAAACATGGCCTCTCTAGGACTTCATAGTTCTATCTATGGTACTGAGGTGGCCAAAGTGGCTTCTCTGGTAGCCCACTGCACTCTCCATGGTACTGAAGGAATGACCATTTGTTTCAGCATCTCGGGTCCAGAAGAGTCCTGTTATTTAGACCCACAAAACTTTTAAGCTGGAAGGCAACATCAGTAAAAATTAGTCCAACCTACTTACATTACAAAGGATAAATGATTCACTGAAGGTTGTAGGGTTTAATAATGGTAAAACTAGGTTTACAATAGCCTTGTACCCCTTAATCCTATTCTGACTCACCTTCTGTGAAATTATTCAGTGAACCTGGCTAGGCTCTTGGCCCCAGGAAAGGGGTTTGTTTGGATGATCCAGAGGAGGAAGGTGTACTCCCAAATTTGGAGCTATAGAAGAACACATTAAATGGTGACAGACGACATCTAATGGAGCTTGGACAAGGATATTTTTGTTAATTAATCTCCTGTTAATATTCCCAGAGCCCTGATTCTGCATGTAACAGGTACTTGCCCCATACTGAAGTCTTACCACATCCACTAAACCTTGAAAATTAAGGAAGCTCTGGACCTCCAGAGCCTTTTCTCTGCTGATAAGCAGGGCTGACTCCTGGCCCAGTTCTCTTCTATTAAAGATCTGTAAGCAAGGTAATGCCGAGTTCTTTTCTTTCTCAGTAACATAAAGCTTATTGTAAGAAAGTTCTTTATATCTCAAATATTCTTCCTATCTTAGGCAGAGGGGAGGAAAAAAAGAAAAAGGTTAGGCCCACATTCATCTGGCCTTGACCAGATACAATTCTGTATGGAGGCAGGAAGGTAGAGTGGATGCCTTCTGGTCATCTTCCCAGCCCTGTTTCCATGATTTTTAATTCTGAGGTTACTTCTGAGTCCTAAAGCTGACCTCTTCTGCAGCTTAGAACCAGGACCCCCCCCATCTTCTTCTTCTCTGTGCTCTTCTTCCTGGCCCTGGAGCTCTGCACATCTCAGGCCTAGGGAATTTTAGCTGGAGAATTTTAACCCTTTCCTGTTAAGAGCTTGTGCGGGAGCCCCTATCTGTGCAGATGGCCCGGCCCCGCCCCCCGTCCCTCACTCCAGCCTCTTGAGCTCAGAGCCAGTGTAATCCTCCTCTTGTGTGAGGAAGCCTCTCCCCTGCAGAGAGGAGGAAAGCCTGCTTCGGAACAGCCTGGACAAAGGGGCTGAGATGCCCCATCAAACTGCAGGCTCCAAGGTTTGAAACAGGGGATGAATCTTAGACGGTATTTGCAGTTTTTAACCCCTTCCCCAGACTGGCAGTGCCCCTTAACTTCCACTCCTCCCCCAACTCTCTCCATTCCCTCTCTGACTCTCTCCCCCTTCATGCCCCTCCCCCTCTGTCTGTCTCCAGACTCTGCTGCTGGGAGGTGTTTCTCTCCCATGCATGAATGAGTCTCTGTAATGAATGGAAATGAATGGATCAGGAATCCAGGCGGAGGGAGGGAGAGTGAGGGGGAAAGACGGAAAGACAGGGTAAGGGCAGAAGCAAGGACCGTGGAACCTGGAAGGATGTTTGGCTGCCAGGTCAGTTAGGGTCTGAGAGAGAGTGACTGACCCCACTTGGATAACCGGGGAACATGGCAAGCCCTCTCCATTCATTTATCAAGCTGCACATACTGTGATGTTCCCTCCCTCCCCACTGCCAGGATGTGAGGTGGTGGTGGTAGTGGTTCTGGGAGCATTTAAAACATAATTTTTGGGAAAAAATTGGGTTATCAGAGAGCCTTTTGGATTTGGCAAATTAAGGGGTGGAGTCTTTGAGGAAAGCAGCCCCCTTGAGACTCAAAATGCAAATAGGAAGGGAAAGGTTTAAGGACTCTAGGGTGTTAAAAGAGTCTGGGATTGGGGGTGATACTTTCCATTGCTGAAAATCAGGACTCATCTTTCCTCCAAATCTCTTTCTTTAGCTCCTCAGCACCTGTTGCCTTCATTAGCAGCCTTTCCTCCTCTTCCCTGCACTCCCCAGAACCAAAGAATGTGAAGGGGTTCCATGGAGGTGAGTGGAGACATGGACTGAACCTACAAATATCTAAAACGGTGCTCTATCTCCCTTCCTACCTCTTTCTCTTTTAACCTATTATTTAACCTAACCCTGGCTCTGCGTCCCTATTATAACTTATCTCCTTGGCCCCAGCATCCAATTCCCATCCATCCTCCAGCCTGCAGTGGTGAATGGCACCCTGGGTCAAGCCCAAACCCACTCTCCTTTTGTTCTGGTCCTTGTTGCCGTTGTTTTCTCCACTGATCGCCCTTCTCCATACTTTGCTCTACGTGCTTCTTTTTCCACAGGGCTCACGTCCCCGCGTCCCTGGTGGCCATTTAGCCCCGTCACCACCGGCCTTTGACGGCGAGCTGGATTTGCAGCGCTACTCCAACGGCCCAGGTGTGAGCACGGGGTCGCCCGGGATGGGAGCTGTGGGCTGGTCTGAAAGTCGAGCAGGAGAACGGCGTTTTCCCTGCCCTGTATGCGGGAAGCGATTCCGCTTCAACTCCATCCTGGCATTGCATCTGCGAGCGCACCCAGGGGCTCAGGCCTTCCAGTGCCCACATTGTGGCCATCGCGCAGCACAGCGGGCTCTGCTACGCTCGCACCTGCGAACACATCAGCCTGAGCGCCCACGTAGCCCTGCCGCGCGCCTGTTGCTGGAGTTGGAGGAGCGCGCACTGCTGCGGGAGGCTCGCCTAGGAAGAGCCCGAAGCTCAGGAGGCATGCAGGCCAACCCTGCCACTGAGGGCCAGGCACGGCCTCAGGTTCCTTCGTCATCTGCCTTCCGTTGCCCTTTCTGCAAAGGCAAGTTTCGCACCTCAGCAGAGCGCGAACGCCACCTGCACATCCTGCACAGGCCTTGGAAGTGCAGTCTGTGCAGTTTTGGCTCCAGCCAGGAGGAGGAGCTGCTACACCATAGCCTGACGGCCCACGGGGCTCCTGAGCGCCCCCTGGCGGCCACCTCCACTGTGCCCCAGCCTCAGCCTCCACCCCAGCCCGAACCCAGATCTGTTCCTGAGCCAGAACCAGAGCCTGAACGTGAGGCAACCCCTGCCTCTGCTCCTGCAGCTCCCGAGGAGCCCCCGGCGCCTCCAGAGTTCCGCTGCCAAGTGTGTGGCCAGAGCTTTACACAGTCGTGGTTTCTCAAGGGCCACATGCGCAAGCACAAGGCCTCCTTCGATCATGCGTGTCCCGTGTGTGGCCGCTGCTTCAAGGAGCCCTGGTTCCTAAAGAACCACATGAAAGTGCATGCCAGCAAGCTGGGTCCTCTCCGTGCCCCAGGTCCTGGCTCAGGGCCTGCCCGGGCACCCCAGCCTCCTGATTTGGGGCTGCTGGCCTATGAGCCATTGGGCCCTGCGCTTCTCTTGGCCCCGGCACCCACTCCAGCTGAGCGTCGGGAGCCCCCGAGCCTCTTGGGTTATCTAAGCCTCCGTGCTGGCGAAGCCCGGCCCAATGGAGAAGGGGCTGAGCCTGGGGCCGGCCATAGCTTTGGAGGCTTCCGCCCACTGCCATCAGCTGTCCCAGCGCGGGCTCGAAGGCACCGTGTAGAGGAGCCTGAGGAGGAAGAGGAGGTGGTAGAGGCTGAGGAGGAGAACTGGGCCCGGGGCAGGTCACTGGGCCCTTTGGCCTCCCTGCACCCACGCCCAGGCGAGGGACCAGGGCATTCGGCGCCTTCTGTGGGGGCCCAGGCAAGATCTACAGCCACACAGGGTATGTAGGGACTCCTCTCTGGGTTTTCTGTCTTTCTTCCTGTCCAACTCTGTGGTCACCACTCTTGTAGCTTCTTTTTAAAAAGAGCCTTTTTTCTTCTCATTTTATTTTTTTTCTCCTGAAGATGTCACCACTTCCAATGGCACTAATTCTTAACCTCTTATGTTCTCCCAAACTTGATGTAACCTTGTGGAACCCAAGGGGAAACAGGCCTGTGGGGTGGGTGTGGAGGTGCAAAGCGACCCTCATAACTTCCTTTTAATATGTACATTGCAGAAGAAAATGGGCTGTTGGCTGGAGGGACCCGGCCTGAAGGGGGCCGAGGGGCCACTGGCAAGGATTGCCCCTTCTGTGGAAAATCTTTCCGCTCAGCTCATCACCTCAAAGTGCATCTTCGAGTGCACACAGGTAAGGAAGGCAGCTTCTTGAGTGGGTAGGGACTGAAGGGGAGGAAAAAAAGATGAGAGCTATCAATAGTCTTAGAGATGACCCACTATAGCATTCTATTGGTCAGATGAAATTAGTTCGAAAATGTTCTTTATTAAATCAGAGCTAGTAAGAAAGACAGGGCTTCTTCCCAGTCCTAAGGATAAAGTCAGTAAATTGAGCAGAATGCAAATGAGGGTATGCAGTGATTCTGACTTCATCACCTTATCCCACCTCTTCTCCCCAGGTGAGCGCCCTTATAAGTGTCCACACTGTGATTACGCAGGCACCCAGTCTGGCTCACTCAAGTATCACCTGCAGCGTCACCACCGGGAGCAGAGGAGTGGTGCAGGCCCGGGGCCACCCCCAGAGCCGCCACCACCTACCCAGCGGGGTTCAGCCCCATCCTCAGGAGCCAAGCTGGCTCAGCAGTCTGCGACCTGGGTGGAGGGTGCTTCAAGTCCCCGGCCTCCTTCAGGTGGCGCTGGGCCAGGGTCCCGTCGGAAGCCGGCTAGCCCTGGGAGGACCCTGCGCAATGGGCGAGGTGGTGAGGCTGAACCCCTGGACCTGTCCCTGCGGGCGGGGCCGGGAGGTGAGGCTGGGCCAGGGGGTGCCCTCCACCGCTGCCTTTTCTGCCCTTTTGCCACTGGAGCCCCTGAGCTTATGGCCTTGCATCTGCAAGTGCACCATAGCCGTCGGGCTCGGGGTCGCCGGCCTCCCCAGGCTGATGCATCTCCTCCCTATGTCCGAGCACCATCAGGAGAGACCCCTCCCAGTCCTTCGCTGGAAGGGGAGGAGGGCCCCGGGTTGTCGAGATCTGGAGAAGCCGGGCCTGGGGGGCAAGAAAGGTAGGGATCCCTCTTAGGGGTGATTAGCTTAGTGAGCTTACCCCGCAGGAGCGGGGGAGCACTAGAGGTAGTTGGGTAGAGCAGCCAGCAGGGGGCAGTATGGGACCCAAATCCCAGCCCCAGGCGGACCAGAGGTGGAGGGGCAGTGGGCAAAGGAGGATGGGCAGGCGATACCCATCCAGCCCAGGGGAGTCACAGTGCCTTAGAAGTGGCAGAGGTGAGGGTCAAAGAACGGGGTCCCAGGTCTGGCAGAGAGGATTGTGTCCCTGTTGAGGAGACGCTCTGCCAGTTTTTGCTGGTCCATAGGCGTGAGAGTTTATTTTTGTACAAGGGGTGGGGGTGGGGGGGGCACTGTACCCTTCTAGCCCCATCAGGGGCCCTGTAGACGTTGCTATTTTTGGTACGATTCCTGTCATCCCTGTTGCAGAGTCGTGTCCCCAATAAACAGGTGTCTTGAGGCACAAGGCCCTGTGTCCTGTCTGCCTATGTCCTGTTTCTTTCCTTGGGCTCTTCTGCTTTAGAAATAGTTAACCTCTTCAGGCATTAAATTATCATTCAGAGAGCTAGACAAGAAATGTAGAATCTTGGGCTTTAACTCAGTCTTCAGATTTAGTATCTCTGGGTGGTGCCCAAAAGGTAGCATTTAAGAAATAGGCTAGGGGGGCTGGAGATGTGGCTCAGCGGTAGCGCGCTCGCCTGGCATGCGTGCGGCCCGGGTTCGATCCCCAGCACCACATACCAACAAAGATGTTGTGTCCGCCGAGAACTGAAAAATAAATATTAAAAAAAAAAAAAAGTTTAAAAAAAAAAAAAAAAAGAAATAGGCTAGGGGGTTCTCATGCAYTGTGGCTTGAAGACCTCTTTGGAAAACTGTTGGGCTGTGCTAGACCCCAGTTTGTCTGTGACTAGCTTAGTTAGCCTCAAGATGTGGGAGAAGGAACCTCCAAAAATTCATTGATCTTCTGGAAGCCACTATGGAGGAAGCACATTTTCCTAGGCTCTTGCATAGTTTTCGGACAGTAAAGGATAAAGGGTACTTCAGCCTTGGTTTTATTTTCTGTATTCTAGTTAATGGTTGGTTTAGGGAGGTGCTCAAGTTAGTTGCAAAACCTTAATCCAGAGGATTGTTCTGGCTCCTGGGAGGCAAAGTGTGAGTAAATACATTTAATATAATAATAGTATTATAATAACAATAATTACACATAAAAAGTCTGCAGTTCTGGCCCCACTCTGTAGTATGGTTTTCATAGCTCCATTTCCTGTGACAACCCAGGATGGAGTCACCAGGAACCAGGTGACCTGGCAGAGATGAGTCTTCTCTGGGAGAATCAGGATGAGGAGAAACAGGCTGTCAGAGAGGTGTCCTGGGGATGCGTAGTGGCCAAGGATGAGAGAAAATTAGAAAAGGGATAATTTCCCTTTTCCAGGCTATGAAGGGAAGCAGATATGGCCATTCTGGTTCCTGCAGGATAAGGCACCAAGCAGGGGAGAGCTAGAGATAGCAGTAGCAGGGGGATGCTCTGGTCCTTGAATCCCCTTTCTGTTCAGGGAGCAGAGGGAAGGAATTCGGTGCTCTTCTAGTCCTTTGTTATGTCCCACTGACATCCCAGCTCAAAACACGTGGAGAGGAGGGGCTGCAGCCAAGTTCCAGATCTTCTCTAGAAGCCAGGAGAAAAGAAGGATGGATTGGGAAAGGGAAGAACCTGACTGTCAAGCAGCTTAGGCTAGGAAGAAGGGCACTTGAAGGACAGAAGAGAGAAAGGGGATATGAACTCACCTAGGTCACAGAGGTGTGGTGGGGTCACTCAGGGCTCGGGCATGACTCTGAGGGCAGAGAAACTGCAATGAATTTGGAGATATTTCCTGTCTGTCTGTCTCTCTGTCTGTCTCTCTCTTTCTCTCTCTCTCTCAAGCCTGCTTCTTACTAAAGATTTGTTTTTTTCACCTTTGGCATTGATACCTCTTAGCTAGGCCTGGGGGAGAGGAGAAAGGCAGACTGTGCAATAAATCCAATCTGCATCCTCAGCTGGGATCATTGGTTCTCCCACTCCCCCAGTGGGCTGATGATCAGAAAAGCCCACCCAGAAAGTAGCCAAAGAGATCAACCATTCCCAGCTTTACTGCAGATACTTACCTGCCGGGATAGCCCTAAGATCCCTCCACTGGCCAGGGTGGGAGTGCTGCTCCCAGGGTGGGGGGGTTGCAGGCTGGGGCTGTGTCTTGGTCCTGGGGACACATCTCCAGAAGAGTCAAGTGTTTCTGGGGCTAGAGGGGAAGCTAGGGTGAGAGTAGGGTATTGAACTCCTGCAGATTACCTTAAGCAACCAAGCTGCTCCGTCAAGGAGGAAAAAGCTCCATAGCAACAGGAAGCTGTGTCACCATAGCAATCCAGTTGCAAGAGAACCCCCCTACCAAGAGGCAGGAAATTGTCAGCAGCATCAYTAGAACAACCAGGGAAGAAGCGACAGGAAACTATAAGGATTGCCGTGGTGAACCAGGAGGGTACAACAGGAAGCTGAGGCAGTTTCCATAGAAACCCAAGGAGAGCTAGAGAAAGAGAGGTACAGAGGAAGTGCTTCTTAGCAACAGGCTGCTGTAAGCATCACCCTAGCAACCACATGGAAAGCTCTTTTAGCAGTGGGGAAGCTGTACATATTGTCATGGCAACTGGGCTACTTGGCTAGAAAAAGGAATTGCTCAGCAGCAGGCAGCCTGAACATCACCATGATGACCCGGCTGTTGGGAGCCACCCCTTGAGAGGTGCCTCACCCAGGGAAATTTGCTTGACGTCCAGATCCCAGGCCTCCTCCTCGACGCGGGCAGGCAGGGAGCAGGCTCCCGGCGAGAGGCCGGGAAGGGAAGGGCCGGCATGCTCAAAGGATGACACGGCCACGGAGGCCCGGGTGCGGGCGGCTGTAGAGAGTGGGGAGTTGGGGTGGGGGTGGGGTGCTGGTGTGGGAAAGCACTCCTGGCTTCCCAGAACAACTGTCTCATTAGAGGGCCTCCCAGTTAGTCCCACAGATTTTAGAAAGAGAGATGCCCACTCATTACCCTTCCTGACTTTCCTCCATGCCTCCCCATCGTGCTTGGAGCTGATCAAGGTATGATTCCGGGGACACCCCCAGCACCTTGGCCCTTACCTCTTCCAGTGAGCAGGGCACTCAGGGTCCGTTCCCCAAGGGCTTTGATGTCCAAGAAGGGTTTATTTCCAATACCCATAGAGACCATTTGCTGTACTCGGAGTTCTAGGGAACAAAGACCCTGTTAGCAAACTACTTGGCTCCAGCTCTAACACATCACTGGTTCACCCTTTATTTTGCTTCTTCCCAACTCTCATTACTCCCTCTCTTCCTCTGGTATCTCATTACACTTCCTGTTGGCTATCACTACAGGAATGGTGATGGTAGTTGTTGATTTCCTCCAATTTATATCTATCTGTTCTCACATATGTGGCATCCTGGCTGCCCACCAACTTTTCTAATCTTCCTTTTCTGTTGGGCATTAAGAGCAAAACTCACAATTTTATAATCTTTCCATTTTATAAGATGCTTCCATATATATCACCTTATATAATCCTCCCTGCTTCCTGGGGACGTAGCTTAGTAGTAGAGTGCTTGCCTAGTATGTCCAAGGCTCTGGATTCATCCCCAATACAGCAAAAATAAAATGAAATAAAAAAATAATTACTATTTCATTTTTCAGATGAGTAGAATAGAATGAGGTTCACAGAATCAAATAAAAACAAAAACCAAGATGGGAATAGGAAAGACAGTAGAATAAATTGGACATAACTTTCCTATGTTCACATATGAACACACAACCAGTGTAACTCCACATGATGTTCAACCACAAGAATGGGATCCTAATTAGAATAAGTTATACTCCATGTATGTAAAATATGTCAAAATGCATTCTGCCATCATGTATATCTAAAAAGAACAACTAAAAAAGAAAAAGAAAAACAAAAACTAATCCAGCAAATAAGTGGCACCAGTTCTTAATCTCAAATATTTTCTCTCTTGCCCACCCATTTACTCTCATTTTCCTGACATGTGTTAGCTTTTTCTTTCTTTTTGGTACATCTTAGGCTAATTTCTATTCAGCAATTCTCTCTCAAGCCAGATCTTGAATCTTAAGTCATTCTTTTTTCTGCATCCTACACCATTTTCCTAAGCAATCTCCATGTTCTCCAGAAAACCTCCTGCCATAACCCTGGTTCCAAGTACGTTTTCCCACAGCTCTGCCCAGTACCCTTGTTGTGGGCTGCCTGTCTCCATAGCAGCTGCGCAATAGAACTCGTCCACTTCAGTTTGATCTCTGGTGAAGTTGCCTGCAGAGTGTATGCCTCTCGTGCACGCCGCCGCCGAAACCACAGTTCAAAGCAGAGTCCACTGTCCCCAATGTTTTCTGTAAGCCCCATGTCAGCAGTCTGAGGAAGAGTAGGGGGAATGGTTGAAGGTGCATGAATTCTAGCTGGATGGTATCACATGAACAAGTACTACATTTAGCCTGGCATTTGGTAGATAGACGGTCAGTAAACATTTATTTAACTCTCACCAGGTGCCAAATGCTCTCCATGCATAATTTACAGAAGGGGAAATGAGGCCCAGAGATAGGCAGCAACTTGCCCAAGAATTTATGTAGATTACTAGAGTAAGGACTTGAACCCATGTCTCTTATTCCAAATCTAGGCCTTTTTCTCTGTACTATAACTACCCCCTAAAGAGCTGGAACTAGTGTAGGGGACAGAGTTAAGAAATCTTTAGAATCATTCCACACTGCCTCATCCAAGACTATAGGTTGCTAAGGACATTTATCTGGCTGGTTCCCTAAAGCAAGCTTTCCCTCTTCATGGATAGTGTCCTTTCCTCTCATACCACAGGGACCACTCCTAATTCAAAAGGCATATGTGTCCTTGGTGGGAAAGATCCTCTTCCAAGTCTGACTTAGAATGCTCCATAAATCTGCATGGACTACATGAAAAACCCATGGGGTAGACCAATGGCAGGGACTTCTGTCATCCTCTGATACCTTAACTTGATGACTGGTTATAGGTCAAAGCCTATTCAGAACCTGGATTGGGGGTGAACTCTTAGAACACTTTGAGTTCTCAAGTACAGCATAGCTTCCTGTCCCCTTCACCTACTCCAACTCCAGGCAATGTACCTTAAAAGCCTGCTTGTAAACAAAAGTCTCAGAACCCCCTTCAGAGCCCTTGAGCTTGCTGAACAGAAGGAGGTGCTCAAAAAGAAAGACATGGCGAAGACACTTCTTCCGGCCACAGATGACAGTGAAGGGATCCCGATGCAAGAGCTGTCCCTGCTCCTTCAGATCTATCTGGGGAGAGGAAAAGGAAAAGTGGTTGGCTCTGGATCCTTTTGTATGTACTTTACAAGGAGTAAAAATAGATTTATAGAGCACGGGGGCCTAATGCACTGGTTCTCAGGCAGAGTCAGGAAATTAGAAAAGCCCTCAGCCTAGAATCCATTCACT